TGCAAGCTTTCATGGAGAAAATTCTACTACTTCAGGCATAGCACAACCCCTTTCATGGCTAGGGCCAAAACATTATACGTACATAAGAGTCCAAAGATTGGTGGTACATGTCTATGAGAGTTGATATCAGTCTTCTGAGGCTGTGGTCTCAAGCCTCTACATCATGGTTTAGAATTTTACATCCCTCTCTCAGAACCAAAAAGCTACTGATTAGTTTATGATTGCGTCCTGTTTCTCTCTTTCTGTCTCCTTACCTCCCCCCACCCTCCCCCATCTGCTTTGAAACTAGTTTATTTTGGTCCAGTAAAAATATCATATACTCTTACATTTATGTGAGGAATATGTAACATGTATTCAAATGTCAAGGTTTTTATTGTGATTTTTTTGCTATAGTGCAGACCAGAATATGGATTAAAGTGATTCTTTAAAAAATGATGTGCAAAGATCCCATGTGAATCTGTTTGACATTTTGCTAACTGTGATTAGCAGTGGTTGCTTTTATTTTATGGTAGGCAACAGTATTACAGAAGATGTCATTGACAGATAGCTAGACATTAGCTGTTTAACCCTGTCTTTCTTGACCTGATATCCTCAAGACATTTTCAACTGCATCTTTAATCATTGCAACTAACATGACCAATGGTAAGCAGTAACAGGAGTCAAAGCCAAAGAATCTTGAGGGCACCAGGTTTGAAAAGCTGGGGTAGTCTTCCTTGGTTTTTGAGAAAAGTAACTCGAAAAAATAACCTTTTTATGAAGCTTACTTTAATGATTTTCGACCTGCCAGTCTTGCAGTTTGCTGTTCCCCTGGGAAAAGCAGCAATCGTCTCATGTGAGCAGCAGAGTTTCAAATGCCTGTTCTTCTTGCTGCTGCTTACCCGCTTGAGTTATTTTTGCATTCAAGGCTATTTTCATTGCCCCAAGGGCAAGATACTAGCTTTTTTTATATTTATGGAAGCCAAGGTATTTAAGGTGTTTGAAGTCTTTGTTTATACAGACTGAATGTTGGTTTCTTACATACAGTATCTGATTTTGGTGTAAATCTTTGCATTATGAACAATTTCCTTAGATTGTTGTGCCATTTACCTTTGCATTTCAGTCAGGGTTAAAAATAAGGTTAGCCCTGCCCTGACTTCTTACTGTGTTAGATATAGAAACCAGACATTTCTTGTCCTTTGGGGATGGCAGAGGTAGAGTGGGGTGGGGGAAGAATAAATTGGAGCGGAATGTAGTTCTTTCCTTTTATGGCTGACTTGGGCCATTTTGTAGTGTGAATGGGACAGACCTTTCAACCTCCACTTTCCTATCCCATGTCTGAAAATCTAGAGAGTATCAGTAACATAAGGAGATGTGATGATGTACTTTATAATGGCAGAGACAGTGGAAATCCTGAAAACCATGTATGTACAGTACTTTATAATGGCAGAGACAGTGGAAATCCTGAAAAATGGAAATGTTGATTGCTGGCTCTTTTCATGAGCTCCTTTTCTGTTCCTTCAGCATTGCTGGGACAAGAACCAGCCATAAATGTAGCCAACTAAGTTGACATGAATGATTTCTAGCAAATGGACAGATCTTCAAGTTCTTGTAAAGCAGAAGTAGGGAACTTGCACATTGTTTAAAATTATATACATTGCAGATATTGCCATGACACTGTTAATACAAAGCAGGAAAAGCAATGTTTTGGTGTGTGTGTGCGTGTGTGTGCGCGCGTGTGTCTATGTGTGTGTATTGATTGATTCATTGATTCACTGATTCATTCATTACTGGCGCGTCTCTGAAATACCCATGCTGAATGTTTGTTTCTAAGTACTGTATTGTAAATGTCAATTTTGCAGTGGTGTCGAACTGTGGCCTTCCAGATGTTCTTGGCCTTCAACTCCCAGAAATCCTGGCCAGCAGAGGTGGTGGTGAAGGCTTCTGGGAGTTGAAGTAATGTCAATTTTACATGCAATTATAATGGATACTCTACTGTGTGCTGTGTCCAACTGCTCAAATTTCGATTCCTATGTGTTGCCATGTTAGTGTGTTGTACAGTGGACTACACTGCATGGAAACGTATACTAGATTAAGCATATTAGTTTTTAAGGTGCCACCAGACTCTCTTCTGTTTGTGGCATATAACTTTGAATTGCTGATTTGTGTTGCAGTCCCAAATTCTTCTCATTTAGGATATCTGTGCAGGGAAGCTTACTTACCATGGATGTTTTCTCTTTGTATATATGTATATGATACATTGAGGGTGTAGGTCAGTGGCATGGAGTATTGACTACTGTAGCAGAACTGTAGTATATCTCCACTTTAGGCTATCGCTCTGTGCTCCAGTAGTAGGACAGCAACCTAAACATCCTTGCTACAGTTCTAAAGTCAAGCTGACTTGTAGCTCTAAAGTTTGGTCTTAGTAATTATTGGGAATGAATTTGTACATAGCTACAGTGGACCCTTGACTTACAGACGGCTTGACTTACAGACTTTTTGACTTGAGAACCGCCTTCCAATACGGATTAAGTTCTCAAGTCAAGACCCCACTGTACTGTAGAATCTTATGCTTGGCCTGATGTCAAGGCTCCTGTTTTTCTGCTTTGCATAGTAATTGGAGCCTGAGTGTCAGTGAGGGAGCTTTGCCTGCATTTCCATTGAGCTTTTGAGATGTCAGTGTAGAAACTGAGTGGCTCTTCTGCCTATACTAATTCTGGCTTTGAGAACACAAAAATGCAGCACAAAGATTATAAACTTGGCTTTGACAGTGGCATGATGCTGTGAGACTTAACACTTTGAATATATCACTCCATTTCACTGGCCGTTAGTTTCTTTCTGACTTGAAGCTATTGATTTGGAACTTTAAGTGATCTAACCGTCCAGAGTAGACATGTTCCAAATGGGCGGTAGATAAGTTTAATAAATAAATAAACAAATAAACAAATAAATAAATTGTCTCTCCTGCGGTTTTTAAAGGAATGCTTTTGTCATATTGATTGGAGTTAAACTCATTTGCTTTAGATCCTTCTTTTTCCTCCAGCATCCTCAACTTTTGGAGGTGACTTGCAGGTGATCTGGTTCTCTTAGAATTTTTCTCTAGACTCAGCTTTTGTAAATATTCTGGAGAATTTTAATTTGTTTAATACAGTATACAATCAAATTTATTTTGTTTCTCTAGTGCCAATCTTTCCATTTAATTTAAACATTAAATATTTATGCACATTATGTGCATAAATATGTAATGCAAAACTAGATAGAGATGGGATTACAGTTGCTTTTTTACCCTCTGTTCTGCTCTGCCCAGGTTTTAAAAAATGCCTGCTGTGAGCCCAGTGCCCAAATACTATTCCAGTTTATCTGATGAAGTCAGTGATTTAGAGTAGTTGGCCAATTCTTAGTTATTGTTAAAATAGGCTCTGCCTGTTTTGATGCTGAAACAAAAAATTCTTCTGACGTCAGCACTGATTTCACTGGTTGCTTTACAAAGCAAATGACTAGGTCTGAGTTGAAAGATTACTATACTGTTGGCTTGCAACTGAATTTAAAATGCTGCTCTTGCAAAATATGTTGGAGCTGCTTCTTTATTGACTATATTCTCTTGGCACTGTTTGTAATGGTAGAAATAGAAAGGAAGGATGTAACATTTTTCAGGTTTCAAAGATCAGATTTTCTTGAGCTGTTGCTTCCTCAGTTCAGTTGTGAATGGTTGACTGCTTCATTTCCTTCCTGTTTTCTTTCCTTTTCTTTTGCTACTTGAAGCAGAATAAAGTTGAAAATCAATTTTAATTTACACACGTTAAAATGTCCATTTGGTTTCTATAAATTTTCACAGGTTGCATGTTTATTCTACTTGATGTCTAGGCAGACTTGGATAATATATCTTTTCTATGGAACAGATTCAATATATCTTTTCTATGGGACAGAATGAACACATTATACAGTCAGTGGAATAAATATACAGTGGTGCCCTGCAAGACGGGCTCTCCGTTTAATGACGAAACCACTTGACGTCAATGTTTTTGCGATCACAAAACGATGTTCCCTATGGGGGAATTTCGCTTTGCGATGATCGGTTCCCTGCTTCGGGACTGATGGGAGGTGTAGTTCCAACTATCACATAGGGGAAGTCTATTATAGCGGGTGGCAATGCTGTTTAAATTTTTTCCAGGAAATCAGAGATAACATGCCTTCATATATAGAGATCCTGCTGAGGGAGGAAAACATTTGGTCTTCTTTAGCACTAACATATAATTAAAAAGACTTAAGTAATTGAGATTGGAAAAGTGATATTATATGACCCCCCTAATACAGTGTTCTGTACAGCATTACAAATAGGAGGGGGCAATCAAACAAAAAGTTGTAAATTTTGCACAGGTACTTGAATTGAGACTGTATTTGCCAGAGCAGTTGTGGATGGCATGGTCTTGCATTATGCCACATTTGGAGAAATTTGGACAAGTAAAATCACTGGATAACTCTGTGGTTTAGGCATCAGGCTGCAGAGCCAGAGATTGGGAGTTTGGTTCTTTACAGTCCCTCCTTGACTGGGGCTGGATTCAGTGATCCATAGTGTCCCTTCCTGCTCTGTAGTTCTAAGATTATTATTAAAATTCTCATTCTTGCTTTTTTAGAAAAAGGTTTTCTTCCTTGCTCCCCAAAGCTTGTTGTGTGATTGCTCCCCCCCTTTTTTTGGGAGGTGGCTCATAGTCAGTTCCGTGGTTATTTTTCAAAAACCTGCTATGATTTTCTGAAAAGAAAATGCTAACTGCTATGTGCTTTTAAAATTTGAATGGAAACCATGTTGTCATTTAGAGAGGATATATGATCTTAAACATGCTTGTTTTATATATGATTTTTTTCATAATTTCTTGTTTATGCCTGGCAGAGTTGCGCAACAGGATTTCAGCCAATATGTAGTGATATGATATGATATGATATGATATGATATGATATAATATAATATAATATAATATAATATAATATAATGTAATTCTAATTATTTTTCTTTGCTTTAGTCAACAGATAAACAACGAGCCCTAGAAGAAACCAAAGCGTATACAACTCAGTCTTTAGCTAGTGTAGCTTATTTGATCAACACCTTGGCCAACAATGTTCTCCAAATGCTGGATATACAGGCGTCCCAACTTAGGCGCATGGAATCTTCAATCAACCACATTTCACAAGTAAGAACATATTTTTTATCCTTGCGTAATTTGAATTCAAGTGTCACATCTTGTATAGAGAGTAGTATTCAATCTGGAGTGTAGAGGATCTGAATTTAGAAGTCCTCTTAGTTGTGAAGCTTATTGGATGATCTTAAGCTAGTCACTAGTCTTTGTGTAACTTACTTCAAAGGGCAACTGGATTGGATTTGATTTAAATCAATTTGATTTTTTTAAAAAAATAATTGATTTTATCCACCGTAAAACAGTAATGTGCAGCAGTCATGTGTGCTATTTTCTTGCAGGGATAGAAGATCCTTAATAGCTATGTATATTTTTGTTGCCACAAATAGAACTTGAGAAATAATTTGATTTATCAGAAAGTCGTAGAAAAGCAAACTTTGGTAGCAGTACCAACTTCATAAAAAGATTACTTTGGGTTTGTTTTTTTTGTTTACAAATTATGTGTCTAATTAAAAGCTTGCGTATATTGCACTGGTATTTTGGAAGAACAATATCTCTTCGTGTTTTGTTAGGAGCCACATCATCTCCATGTATTTGAAGTTTATCTGTCCTTAAAAAAGAAAACATGGATGCTTTTAATGATAAAATTATCGAGCCCAGCTATTATTGGGGAATTTTTGGTTATTCCTTTTAGTTAGCAGAATGTGATGGAGAAAAAGAACAACAGAGAAAGGTGGAGGAATCAGCTGAGTCTCACCACACACAGTCCTGCCCCTTTGGTTTCTTTTCCACATAAACTATCACTTTGTATGATAAGAGTACTCTAGAAGCATTTAAAGTAGAAACAGGTGTCTTTGCTTACAATTACCATTTTTAGTTACAGTCAGAACAATTTTCTATCTAGCTCATTTCGGTATCTTCCAAAGCTGAGCAGTTGAGTTTTGTTGGGAGCCACACTCACCTTACTCTGCATGTCCACAACATTCTCTCCTGCATTAAGCAGGGGGTTTCTTTTCTTCTGCATCTGTTTAGAAACCTTTCTTTCTTCATCGTGGTCTTCTGTGAATGCACACAAAAAGGGTTAAGTCAGCGCCAGCGCTGGTTCCTTCGGAATGTTCTCGAGCTCTGCAGAAAAGAAACATAGTTTAAGATTACCTACACTGCGCATGCTCCGCCCGCCCAAGCCTCAGTTCCATTTCTCCGCCGTGCGAAGTGGTTCTTTGCTTCTTAGCTCTGCTAAATTCGCTTTATTACTCTCCGTATTTCTGGTTTTCTTGATCACTTGGCGTGTTTTTAGGACTTCCCTACTGCTTATTGGACTTGGCATTGACGTTTTGGCTTACTTTCAGGACTCTAGCTGTGAGTTTCTCCTTTCCCGCCTTTTTTACCGGTCGTTCCCGGTCCCTTTTCCCTGCCTATGCCCCCTCCACCCTCTGGCCCCTTTAGTCAGTGTGTCGTGTGTTCTGCTAAGATCCCTTTTCACAATGGACACGACACTTGTCTTTTTTGCCTGGGGGAATCGCACTCTCCTCAGCATTGCAAGCATTGCAAGGCGTTTACCAAAGCTGCCTTGAAAGCGCAGCAACAGAGGCTCAAGTTACACTTGTGGGACTCTGCCTTGTCAGCCTCCAAGCCATCAGCTATGGAGCTCCCGTCTCCACCGGTCACATCTTCTGCTGAGGGTGGCTCCCACCAATTACCTGGAGTTGTTCCTTCCGAAGGCTCTGCTGCTAAACCGTCTAAAAAAGCTGCAGCTAAGAAAGGGTCTTCTTCCAAAGCCGCTTCGACTTCCAAACCTGCGAAGCAAGTGAAGGCAAAGCAGCCAGTTAAAAGTACGTTTTCCACCCAGCACCTCTCCCCCACCTCTTCGGCCATGCCTTCCCCGATTTTGGAGGATTTGTCTAGGGATAAGGACTCCATGTCAGAGGCAGTCCCTTCGCTCCCACCGAGGCAACCTGAGCCAGTTGTACCCCTTGATGCTCCCTCGCCAACGCCAAGTCAGCTTGTCCAAGTTACCGCAAACTTGGGTTTAGCCCCTCTTAGCCCTGTTTCCACCAGGCGGGCGTCTCTGGCTCTGTCGGCTTCTCCAGTTCCCTCCCAATCAAGCCCTCCTCCTCCTAAAAGGGCAGAGAAGAGGAAACATCTTTCAAGCGATTGACATCGCTCAAGGGAACGCAAAGAGAAACGTCGCTCTCGACGTCGACACAGGTCTTCCTCTGATGAATCCACTACTTCGGGATCGAGGCGTAGAAGACATAGATGCCGCCGCAAAAGAGACTACTCTTCTTCTCCTTCGACGTCATAGGCGCGCTAAATACATCTATGTGTCTTCCTCTTCTTCGGCCTCCTCTCCTCGGAAGCATCGACGTCGACACAAAGAATCAGTGGGGAAGCCTTCGCAACCAGCTCCGCTTCCAGCTAAACCGATGGGTCCTCCTGCTATTGCTGTCTCAATGGCTACTCCATTGCCCCCCCAACAGCAGTCGGTTACTGCGGCGCTCGATGTCGACCCTCGACGTCAGAACAGGGGACATGAGCTTTCATCTGATGATGAGGTGCCTTTCTCCTCTCAGGCTTCTGACTCCGATCGTGATCTCCCTCAACAGCCAAAGGGTGATGAGCTACCTGTGGGGGAAACTGTGGAATCTGACACCGGCGATCCACATGACTCCTCACCTTCCGAAGATTTTTCTTCGTATTCCCAGATGTTGTCAAGACTAGCAAAGACTCTCAAGTTGCATATGGATGAGCCTGCACCCCCAGAGGAGGATCTCATCTTTGGGGATATTAACAAGGAACGCTCCCCTCCTCCTAGTTTATCCTATCTACCAGCTTTGTTGAAAATTATAAAAGAACTTTAGGACCATCCTTCTGCTGCGGTACCTCTACCTAGGTGTACTGAGAATATGTACAAAATCAATGGAGATGATGCCAAGTTTCTCCTGAAACATTCGATTCCGTAACTCCCCCATCGTTGAAACTAGTTGCACCAAACCCACTGGGATAGCTCATGTTGTCCCTACGAATAAAGAAGGCAAGAAATTGGAAATGATTGGTAGACGCATCTATTCACTTATCTCCTTCCTGCTTTGTATAGGTAATTATCAAACTGCCTTGTGTGCTTACCAAAAACAACTCTGGTTGAAGATTCTCCCAGGTTTACAGCTAATCCCAAAGGATGTTCGTCAGGGATACCTTAACACATTTGAGGAAGCCCAAACGGTTTCTAAGCACCAGAGGATCACCACCAGTCATTCAGTGGAGGCTGCTGCTAGGGTCCTAGTATCATCGGTGACCCTTCGCAGACATGTGTGGCTTCGCTCCGCCAATATCTTGGATGATGTGAAAACTAAGGTTGAAGATCTCCCCTTTGATGCCTCTGGCCTTTTTAGTGAAAAAACCGACGGCCACCTCGAGGAATTACACAAGGCTATGAAAACGGCAAAGTCTTATTATATCCAACCGCAACCTTGATTCACTAGATATCAATGGCGGAAGCCTTCCACCCAGTATACTCCACCTGCACAGCAGTTTAGACAATTCAAAACTCAGTCTCAATCTAGATCCTCACAGGGTGCATCCTCAACCTCTACTTACCGTGCACAATCTTCTCAGAGACGTCAGTTGTATAAACCTCCTGCGAAGAAACACAAGAATTATCTTTGACTCCAGGACAATACTTCTACATTCCACTCCCACAACAAGACTGCAACCGTTCTTTAAAAACTGGTTCATCATCACAAGAGATTCCTGGGTTCTAGACATCGTTCGTTCCGACTATCGTCTGGAATTTATAGAATATCCTCCTCTAGGTCAGGTAGAACACACATCATTCGACCCTACCTTAGAGGAGGAGGTTCATTCCTTGCTAAGAAAACAGGCTATTCAGAAAATTCCAAGACAAGACGCCGCAAACGGTTTCTACTCAAGGCATTTTGCCGTCTCCAAAAAAGACGGTGGAATAAGACCAATCATGGACTTAAGAACCTTGAACACTTACCTTCATCCTCGTCGATTCCGCATGGTAACCTTAGAGTCCATCATTCATCTCCTAAAACGAAAAGATTGGTTTGTGGTCGTCGACCTAAAAGACACATATTTTCACATAACAATTCATCCCGCTCACCGCAAATTCCTCAGGTTTGTCTTTCAAGACATCATTTATCAGTTCCTGGCTCTTCCGTTCGGCCTCGCCACTGCCCCCTGGACGTTTACAAGTGCATGGCACCTGTCGCGGCTCACCTGAGGCTGCACGGTGTCCATGTGTTTCCCTATATCAATGACTGGCTAGTGGTCTCTCCATCCAGACGCAGAGCCCTAAAAGACACAGAGTTCACTTGTGCTTTGAAATCTAGGTCTCACCATAAATTACAAAAAATCTCATCTGATCCCCTCACGTGTTGTGAATTATATCGGTGCTACAATAAATGCCACCAAGGGCCGTATCTTTCTTCCACAAGAGCGAATCCACAAGATCTTAAAAGCTGTGAAGAAATTCAAACCACGGGCTACAGTCACGGCATTGCATGCTCAGCATTTGCTCGGTCTTATGGCATTGACAACACCGGGCTTAGCACATGCTCGGCTCAAGCTCAGGTCGTTGCAAGTCTGGCTTCTGTCGCTCTTTGACCCTCTCCGCGATCATCACAGCAAGAGTCTTCGAGTCACGCCAGAACTGGCAAGACAACTACAATGGTGGTCGTTTGTATCGCATCTACAAGTGGGGCGTCCCTTTCAACCTCTACAGCTTACTGTCCAAGTCACCATGGATGCAAGTCCAACAGGCTGGGGGGCGCATTGCGACTGTCATCAAGTTCATGCCCGGTGGTCACTGCAGGAACAGGCTCTCCACATCACTCACTTGGAGATTCTAGCCGTCATCAAGGCTATCAAAGCTTTTTTCCCCCCTAGTACATGGTCGTGGTGTATAAATAGTCACAGACAATACCACGACCATGTGCTATATAAACAAGCAAGGGGGAACTCATTCTCACTCACTTCTGTTACCCTCTCTATGTTATTACAGTTCCTCCGGTACTTGTTCGATTTCGACTTATCTATTTCTACACTGAAGGTTTATCTTGCCGCTGTCGTTTCCTTCCAACCTCGAGGGTCACCTGCTTCTCACCTTTTTTCTCACCCTACGGTGAAAGCCTTCCTCAAAGGACTAGTGCATCTACGACCTCCTGTGAAACGGCCAGTGCCGCAATGGTTTCTTCATCTGGTATTGCATTCTCTGATGCGGCCACCTTTTGAACCAATGGCCACATGTGACCTCAAAATGCTTTCAATCAAAGTACTATTTTTGGTGGCTATAACTTCTGCCCGCAGGGCCAGTGAATTGGCTGCCCTGCGAGCTGACCAACCATTCTTACAATTTTTTTCGGGACAAGGTGATATTTCACACTGATGTATCCTTTCTCCCTAAAGTAGTATCTGACTTTCACTTGAATCAGCCTCTTTTCCTCCCTACTTTGTTTTCTGAACCTACCAATGACACAGAGCGCATGCTGCACACCTTGGACGTCAGAAGAGCACTTGCTTTCTATGTTTCACGGACCAAAGACTTTAGGTTATCTCCCAAGCTCTTTCTCTGCTTCTTTGGACAAAAGAAGGGTCTTATGGCAGCTCCTTCGTCCCTTTCCCAGTGGCTTGTTTCTGCAATATCATTAGCCTATGAACTTCAACATAGAACACCACCTGAAGGTCTGCGTGTCCACTCTACGAGGGCAGTTGCCTCTTCTGCAGCTCTCCTGCATGGTATAGATCTACCTGACATCTGTCGGACTGCCACTTGGTCGTGAGCGTCCACCTTTATCACACACTACAGGTTGGACCTCAGGGCCAAGAATGAGACGAGATTCGGCAGGGCTGTGCTGACTTCTGCTATTCAGTGACGGCCCTCCTTCCGGTGAGTTAGCTTGCTAGTCACCCTTTTTGTGTGCATTCACAGAAGACCATGATGAAGAAAGAGGGGTTACTTACCTGTAACCCTGGTTCTTCAAGTGGTCATTCTGTGAATTCACACAAGCCTGCCCTACCTCCCCACTTTCCGTCACTGAATTTATCTAGCTCATGCCTGCACATCTGTGGTGGAAAAATGGAACTGAAGCTTGGGCAGGCGGAGCTTGCACAGTGTAGGTCATCTTAAACTACAGTGGTGCCTCGCATAACGAGCGCACTGTTTAACAATGAATCCACATAGCGATGCGGATTTTGCGATCGCTAATGCGATCGCATACCAATGTTTTATCGCATTGCGATGGGGGAACAGCTGCTCGGCGGTTTCAAAATGGCCGCCAGAACACCCAAAACAGCCGCCGGAACACCCAAAATGGCCACCGGAACATGGGGGAACGTCGCAGAACTGTGAGTTTTGGGCCCATTTGGAACGCATTAAACTTCATTGGGTTTCCCCGTTCCATTTAGCGATGTTTCCCCATAGCGAAGGTTAATCCGGAACGGATTAACCTTGCTATGCAGGGTACCACTGTATTTCTTTTCTGCAGAGCTCGAGAACATTCCGAAGGAACCAGCGCTGGCGCTGACTTAACCCTTTTTGTGTGAATTCACAGAATGACCACTTGAAGAACCATGGTTACAGGTAAGTAACTCCGCTATTCTTTTTCTTTTGTGGGCTGTCTTTTTGGCTTATATAAAGTTCTTCTTTCACTCTTTCCTTGTTCAACCTCCCCCCCCCCAAAAAAAAAGATTGCTAATTCTTCTTCTTGGTCTCTGTGAATACACACTAATGGGATTGATGGTACCCATGCAAAACATTCCAGAACCTTTCCTAGATGATACTCCTGGAGGGATGTGTTTCTGTACACTTGGAATCATACACTCTTCTATGCCCTCCCTCTTTCTCCTATAATCTGTGAGACCTTTGCCAAATTGAGCTGAGACAACACAAATGGCATCCAAATAATACCATGGTGACTTTGCCAGCCCTGATTTTCTCTGCTCCTACTCCTAGCTGATTATTGCCTCCATCTGTCACTCCTGCCCCATCCCCTCACTTTGGCCAGCAGAACACTTCATCCCTAGTCCTTATACTGTAGTCTCCTATGAGGTACTGATTCCATGAGGTACTAATCCCCCTCTACTCAGCACTGGTTAGATCTCATATTGAGTACTGTGTCCAGCTCTGGACTCCAACTTTAAGAAGGATGCCAACAAACTGGAACAAGTTTAAAAGTGGGCAACAAGGATGTTCAAGAGACTGGAAACCAAGGCCTATGAGGAAAGATTGAAAGAACTGGGCAGAAGACTGAAAGGGATATGATAGTACAGATACTTGAAAGGTAGTTATATAGAGGAGGGGCAGGATCTGTTCTCGATCATCCCAGAGTGCAGGACACATAATAATGGGCTCAAGCTACAGGATACCAGATTTAGGGTGACTATCAGGAAAACATAATCATCAGAGCAAGACAACAATGGAACTAATTACCTCAGCAGGTGGTCAGTGCTCCAGTCCTGGAGACATTCAAGAGAAAATTGGACAACCATCTGTCAGATAGACTTTGATTTGGAATCCTGCATTGATCAGGGGACTGGATTCGATGGCCGTATAGGCCCCTTCCAACTCAATTATTCTGTGATTTTATGGAAGAAGAAAGAAATGTGTACGTTTTTATATTGTGTAATGTAAACCAACTGTTTTGATATTAAATGAGAATAAATATTGATTATATTGAAATGAAAGGGATATATGAATGTCTAATGTGATCATCTAGTATCATGATATGTCCTGGTGATTTTTACCAGCTGGATCAGTCCATGTTAATGAATGGAGGAACATAGCTGGTTAATCACATCAGTATGTAAATTCCTTATGTTTACAGACAGTTGACATACATAAAGAGAAAGTGGCTAGAAGAGAAATTGGTATCTTGACTACGAACAAAAATACATCACGAACTCACAAAATCATTGCACCTGCCAACCTGGAGCGACCAGTTCGTTATATTAGAAAACCTATTGATTATACAATTCTAGATGATATTGGACATGGTGTAAAGGTAAGTACTAATGTAGAATAAGTCTGATATGTGAACCGTCCTGTATATTTTCAGAATGCAAAGATTTGTGTGTGGACTTCCTGGCTTCTCCAAAATAGCAGCATGAATTATCCAGTCTTTTGATAACCTTCACTGATGTGTTAGTATTGTTCTTCTGTATTGCTCTCTCTTTGAAAAACAAACCCTACTTTTGTGTGTCTGTGATAGCCACATTTTGAGTAAATGTTAAGCTTTCTTTTCATAAAACATTTGATGTTCTCCCCTTTCTTTTGATTCTGTTGTCAAGCAGGACCTGTGTGGCAACAATATATGCATCTTTTGTGTTCTGTTTGCTTTTCCCACATCTTGTTGGTGACTCTTGTAGGATGTCACATGGCATTTGCTTTGTCTCCGGCCAGCCTCATGATTTCCTGACTTTAGGGGGTTAGCTTGTGCCTCTGATAGGATTTTCTAAAACAGAAAATTAATATACATAGAAAAGTGTCTACACTTCACATTGTGTGTAGCTGTAAAAGTTCCTATAGTATGCTTTGACATATTGCTGAATTGTATGTCCTGTTTGAATTATATGTACAGTTTCTTTGCATGATTTGTGTAGGTACATATTAGATAGCATGAGCAAATTTTGTTCGTGTTCTTGCATGTCTTTTCTGAAATGCATTCTTGAAATATGCAACATGGTTAGCAGTCTAAAAAATTGGGGGAAAGCTGCTGAGCAAAGAAATGGTAATGTGAATAGGAAAGATTTACAAGGCCTGAAGTTCTTTCAGTCAACAGAACTATACCAGCTTTCATGGTACAGAAATATAACATATTTTTTTTCATGAGAACTAGTTGAATTTGCAGTGAAATGTATTTATTTATTCATGTGGCTCTTCTGAGCTACATGTAATACATGCTACTTCACTGTCCAAAAAGCAAACATTAAAATCTCTTTGGTGAAGAGAAGACTTGTTATACTTCAGTACACTAACTGGTATAGTACAAATGTGTTCCATCATTTTTCTCTTGAAGCATTTGTTATATTAAGTAGTACTCTGAAATATAATGAAAGTGCATAGTAATTTTATGTAAAATAATAGCATTAAATATGAATAAATTAGAAACATACCATAGTACCTGTTCAAATGCATGTATGATGGCTCAGTTGTAAATATGAAGCATGCAATATCAGATTTTCAAATCTTATAAAGTACATTGAGCCGAAGTGATAATATTAATTAATATTCATATTTACTTCCTGAGCAGCAATAACTAAACTAATTTAATTAGATCACATTCTCCATTTCTTGTGCAGCTTAATCATTAGGGAAACAAGTAATAATACCAAGCATATGTACTCTGTCTAAAAGAGACTGCTTATATATACAGCTTTTGGAAGAATAACAAGACTATCTGATAATAATACAGTATACCATATTTTGTAATAATTATGGGCTGCATCCAGCAACAAGTGAGCGAACTGCTGCTTGTGTAGAGAGAATTTCTTTTCCTCCCTTTTGCCCTGCAAGCCCCCACAAGCTCTCCAGATCTGCTCTGTATCATCTCCAGCTCTCTAAAGTAGACTTGGGCGAGTGCATAGTAGGAAAGAGTGCTGACTGCAAAAAAGGGAGTACTTCTATTTTCAGTATTTATTCCTGTAGTGGATGGGCTCTGTTGGATACAGACCCATAGCTTGTTGAGTAAAATTGATAGCAAAATTTTGAATGCTGTAATTTAACCTGGAAATTAAGAAGCATCATAGTTTGCAGTTGATCTGGTGAACTGATATATTGATGAAAACATCATTATGATTGACTAAGTAGTAGATTTGTGACAAAATACATATATTAAGTTTTGTCATGCTTAATGTCTCCAGTATTGAATGAAAGTTTGGAAATATCCCTTATGTGAACAAACAAACAAAAAACTTTGCAACAACTTTGAATTGAAATTAGCAATTTATCAGTCTAATAAAAATTGTTACAGCAGTAAAATTTGCTGGAATCTATTCCGAGTAAGTTAATAAAGTAAGTCTGTTGGTAAAACTTGATAACAAAATGTTGTTTGCCAACAGTTGGTTCTTGGAAGAGTTAATGGTGAACCATTGTATTGTGTCTCATGAAGCAGTGCTAGAAACATTGAATGTTACCTCCTTTAGAATTAATTAGGTCTCCAGATGGTTCTGTTAGTCAATGATTTTATAAAAATTCACCATGAAAACCTTTTGTTCATGACACATTCTGCTTTAATCACTCTTTCTGTGATCTATTGATACATTATTTTGTTGATGCTAAATGCTTAACTTCTTTCTTTTCCCCCCTTCTCTCTTCATATTCTGAAGTTTCAACTAACCTTTCAATGCTTTTCTTCCTTACCTTTTTTATTTGCTTCATTTATGCATTAAGTGGTTGCTTAGATTTAAGGTAAGAAACGACAGGGCTGGATTTCATTCTTATTCTTCAGAATATTACATATGGGGAGAGTGTCTGTTTCTCACTGGGGTGGGGAAAATACAATTTTAAATACCTTTCATGATTCTTAAAGTTAGTAATGTGGTAGCACTTAAAAGATCTCATTAATTTACAAAGCCTTTGAAAACCTATAGGTTGCATGATAAAATTAAGTTGTATATTTATTCTCAAATCTCCCCCTGTGTAATAATCTATTTGTCCTATATATGCTGTGACTTGACTACCTCCATGAACAGTGCTTGAATTTGCAAGCTTAATATGTCTTGCAAAATCAAAAGTAACCTGGAGCATGTGCTTCCTTTTAAAACTTATATATATATATATATCTTGAACATACAGAATTAACTGTTACCCGTTTACTAATTGTCGATTTCTAACGGAATCCTTGAATGATTGCACCAGGTTAAAAATGCATACATTCCTTAATATTAGGCTAATGTTCCAGGGCAGTATACTGATACAAATAGCTGTGCTGTTCAAATTTTGCCAATGATGAATTGAAGATAGCAGAAATTTTAAAAACTGGTTGATACTCATTAGAAATGTAGATTTGAATTAATTTTATAACTCACTACATTTAATTATATTATTTAATTAAAATCTGAATTGCCGTAAAGCAGCTGACTTGAAGTTTGGAAAAGTGGAGCATGTCTTTCTACAATATCACATCTGTGTTGGCAGAGGAGCAAATCAAGCTGAAGCATAGGAAATAGGTTACAGAATTGTGAACAAGATGCAGCTCATTCACCCAGCCTTTCCCTCTCTCTTTATCTCCCCCCCCCCCAAAGTTTTCTCCAGAGGATCAGGTGGGCCCTGAACACTGTAAACTGTGTCCTACATGTAGTGGGATATAGGAATAATCTGAAATAGGCATAGGGGTCATGAGCTTGTGGAGTGCAGTAAAATCTCGAAGTAATTTGGGACAGGGTCCTCCTCTCACCTAGTATGACACCTTTTCCACTGTTTAGGAGCCTGTGTCTTTTGCTGTATGGAGAACTTATGGTGACTAAAGCAGACTGCCGTGAGGAGGAGAAAGGGGGGGGGAAGAGAGAAAGAGAGATAGCATAAGCCACCTTTTGCTTTGATGACCATAAGGTACAACTTCTTAATTTCATTTCATATGGATAAGCCTGGCATTATTCTCCTGTCACTGCTATATCCTGTAACACAATGCAAAGACATACCACACGTCTCTGAACTGCAAATAGGTTGCTTGATTTTGCATCACATTTAAATAGTGAATAGTATAAATAATTATAATAGGTTTATGGGGGTAGAATGGGCTATAGGGGCAAGAGAAGAAGGAAAAATAGTTGCACAGCCAACCTGTTCATGAAACTGTTAGATATAGCCGATTATGGCTGAAATCTTGTTGCATAATGTGAGCAGAGTTCTACATTTCAATTTATTTCTTGCCAGTAAATAAAGAGCTCCACCATGATTCTTCATGGATTGCACACATGTGCATGCACCAATCCAGTATGCACCAATCTAATGTGCATGAGTGCTCCGAGAAGCATGATGACTACTCATTGTTTACTGGTGAAAAACATACCAAAATGTACAACTTTGCTTAGGTTATGCAACAGGATTTTGGCCTTTGATCATTCGAATTATTTTTAGTAACTTTATATCTTAGCATGGATAAGAAAATTGTTTTGGGACTGGGAAAGAATTAGCCTGTCATAAAAACCCACTTACACAGAAAAGCTTCTTCATGTGTGTCTATGTGTGTGTGTATGTATATATAAAACAGTTGCTATAGAATGTAGTCTCCAGTCCAAGTGAGTGTATGTGGATGTGCTGTGGCAGATCAGACCCGAAGTGGCAGGCAAATATAGTTTCTTTCCCTTTACAAAAAGCAGTAATTCAGAAGGCCCACTTAAAAACCTGTGGCAATGGTTAAAGACTACCAAGACCTGAGATTGAGAGAGCCTTGATGCTGCAGACTGCCCATCATTACCTAGTTTAGCGACTGGCACATAATGTGCTTATTTGGAATCCTTTTCCTCCCATATAGTTCTGTTGGAATGACAGGCAAGTGATCTCAGATAATCCTTCAATACTATTAGAAAACATTTGGGAGGAGGAGAAGAGGCGTTTTAGGTATTCACAATTAGAGCTTTTAAAAAAAGAAACTATGTTGAAATTCTGCAGTCCTATCGGAAGATAAATTTAAGAAAAAAATTAATCCAGTTCCTATTCCCCCCCCCGCATGATACCTTGCTTGTTACAGTACTCTGTTTAGTCATTTAATATCCATATTACCTGTTTTGCCTTTTAATGCTAATTAATCTTTTGCGAGCTCTTGGTTTTCTGGATAAGGGCAATAATATTAAGCATAACAAGTTCTGTATGAATGGTGAGGACAGAAGATGTATCTTTTGCAAAAGGTTCAGCTTTTAGTATCTTGGTTAAGGATGACAAATTGTTACAGAGGCCAATCTTTTTAGATCTTTCATTTAATTTGTGGAGACACTTTTCTTACCCCCAACGTCGAGCCATTATGGGTAGTGAAACTGGGAGCAAGTTGAGTAATTTTTATTTCTAAAGGAGTTATATACAATTAAAGTTACCGTATTTTTTGCTCCATAAGACTCACCGGACCTTAAGATGCACATAATTTTTAGAGGAGGAAAACAGGGAAAATATATTCTGAACCAAATAGTGTAATAAAATATTTAATAAACTATAACAGAATAACATTTGAACCATGTAAAGTGAACAGCAGTCAACAATGGCATTAAGAACCATTACCACTGTCATTAACAAATGGAGAGACTTAAAGCTTTGTGTACTCTAGTTTATGTACCATAACTCTGTGTACCATAAATTTAATTCAAGTATATATAGACCATTATCAGCCAGTGATAAGACCTATACCACTCTACCTATATTTTACATTTCCTTTCATCCACCTCCTCCCCATGCTTACAGAAATGCCTCAATGACAGATGATATTGTTGTGCAACTCTGCCCATCTACAGCTCAAGCCTATATTAAGTTAGAAATGGTTTGTCTGATTTGGCACTGCATTGAGAGGTCCCTTTTAGTTGTGTGGAGGATAAATAGTGGAATTAAACTATTTAACAGCTGGTTTTCCTTATTTACTTTAGGTTATGCAAAAGAACAGCAACACAAAGCTTAACCCATTCACCAGCAGTAGCACATGCTCAGCTTAAGACCAAATCTTGGGTTTCTGACATAATTGAACATTTATAGCATGCAAGGCACAAGAGCCATGAACAATGTTCT